CCCTCCAGGCCAGACTTCATCTTCTCCTTCCTTCTCCATAAGGGCTACTCCTTTCATACCCCGAGTCTGCATGGGCTAGGTAGCCAGCAGCTTGCTTTCTTCCTGTTTGAGCTGGTGAAACCTAGGGTGGCCCTTGGTTGTTCTGCTCCCAGAAGAAAGACCATTCAGGAGTTGACCATTCAGGAGTTGAGAATACAACCCATGCAACAGATTGACAGAAGATAAACAGCTTGGCCTTTTGCCTCAAATTTGTCATTGTATGAGAATATCCAAAAACAGAACAGGAGGAAAGGTAGTAGAGTTTGCCTGTGACCACAGAATTTGGAGCTCAAAAATGTAGGATTTGTAACTCTTTCCTTGTCCCGTTGTTTTACTGTTTGTTTGCAGTCCAGTGTATTTCCTTTTCAAGTTTTTGTGATCAAGAATACAATTAAAAAAGAAAATCTGACATGGGATGATTGAGGAAATAGAAATGAACAAGGATTTGCAGAGAAAACTTACTAGTGGAAAAGCCTGGGGGGGGGTGAGACCAGCAAATGGTGTAATGGCTACGTCACTGGACTTCCATGTAGTCAACTGCGGTTCAAGTCCCAGACCCAGTGGCTTAAACTCACACTGGGTGTGTGCATGCCCAAGATCCCAAGAGGAGAATGGAGAACGGACTGTTGTGTGGCAATTCCCCTGGGGGAATGATTTTTCACTTTCTGTCTTTCTGGGTGACATGGTGATTAAGGTGCTAGACTCCCACATGGTCAAATGCAATTCAAGACCCAGACCCAGTGGCCTGAAAATCACACCAGGCATGTGTGTATATATGTTTGTGTGTGTGCGTGTGCGCGTGACATGCCCAGAATTCCAGAAGGAAAGCAGAGAAGGGATTGTGGCATGGCCATCCCCCAGGGAATGACTTCTCACTTTCCCTCTCACTCTGCATATGCCCTTTGACAAGAGCTTTAAAAGGCTGGGAGAGGGACCAACATAGAAATCTTTTAGGAGAGAGTGGGGAGAAACCCCCAACCTGAAGGAGTCACCAGAGACTTTGTACTGGGGAAAGGCCTGTACACATTTCCTATGTGGGAAATACTGCTCTCTGAGTGCATCCTCTGCCCACAAGCCAGCCCTTGCCTGAAGATAGCTTCCCAGTGTCCTGAGCTGAGGTTCTTAATCTTTTTCGGCATCAGAGAACCCACAGGAATAAGAAGCCTCACAAGTGCAGTGAATGCAGAAAGGTGTTGGCCAGGCTGTGCCAACCTTACTACCTGCCTTAGAACTAGTAGGGAGTGGTCCTACTAGTGTGAGCACTGTGGGAAAAGCTTCAACCAGAGCCCCAGCCTCATTGTCCACCAGAGGATCCACAGAGGAAGAAGCCTTGTCAGTGCACTGTGCGTGGAAGGAGATTTAACAGCAATTCCCAGTTCAGCACTTACATGTGTCCAACCTTGACAGAGCCCATACAAGTGTGCAGTGTGGGAAAAGCTTCAACTACAGCTCCCACTTCAGTACCCACC